GAAAAGTCGCAACATCCAAGAATAGAACCCAGGTCGCTGTGTGAAGGCAAAGTTTCAAGTCAAGCATAACTCCAGTGCACTATTGGTTTATTCATGTTATGTGATTACAACTTTTGATAATATCTCTGTTCAATAATTGATTATATTATTAATTATTATTAAGGATTCACTTTGGTTAAACTCAATTGAGTTAATTTCAGGAATTTTTTAATTCAGTTAATTATTTATTTATTGATTGTGCAAATATAGTAAAATAATTTAATGATTGCACATATATAAATAAATATTTCAATCATTTCGTTTAAATTTGTTTTGGTACATCTCGTGTTCCTATTTGAAATTTGTCTAATATTCAAGATGATTTAATTGAAGCAAGAAGTTGCAAAAGTGACCTCTCTTGTGTAGATTTATTTGTCAAAGGTTTTAGATGTTTGTATTTGTATATTTTCATGCGAGTATTTAGTCGGCCCAAAGGAAGATTAATACTTGGCAGAAATTTATTAATACTTGTGGTAATAAATATGTGACAATATATAGTTATATCCATGTGAATAATATGTTTTTCAAAAGAAAGACTATTATTTGACAGGAGTTTTGTCAATATTTGATTACTACACAAAGGCGACCACTTACAAATTAATATTACTGTCCAAAGACTTGATATTGATGTTGTGCTAGGTGCCTTGAGATGTTACTAAACTTATTTAAATTTTTTGTGATTGATGTGAGCATGTTGATTAATTTATTGTTATTCTCTGTTAAGTTATGACATCTAGTACTTCTATCTCTGCTGATACCAACAACATTCTTAAGCTTAAAGGTTTTAAATTTTTTGAACCAGCTAAAGATCTATATATGAGATGAGAAAATGAAGTATATTTGAGGATGTTGAGTTTGGGGGGAGAAATAAGGCTAAGGACATTATCTTTGAGGAAGAATCATTTGCGATTTCTACTACTGCTTCTGACAATGTGCAGGTCTCTATTCCTGTAGTTAGTCGAGAAGTAGATTTGGAACCTCAACAGGATAATGTCAAGAATCTCTCAACTCAAACTAGTTTGGTTATTCAGGATGAACAAACTCAACAACTTCAAGAATTTGTGCCATTAAGGAGATAAACTTGAGATAAAAGAAATAACATTTTGGATGATTATGCTTTCTTCAAGAAAATAAAGGCAATAATGACTTGAAAGAAAGTGATCTTATGGCATCAGTAGCATAT